AATTCTTAAAAGCATAAATTGTCAAATAAGCAACACAAACACATACTAAAACAATATTAGAGGAAAAATGTTTAAATAAAGAAAAAAATCGACAGAATATCAACACAGAAAATAAGCAGAAAGTAAACGAAAAAAATACCAATTAATATATCAAAAGTGAGAAACGACATAGGTTATGACTTTATAACTGGAAGCGGATTTAAAAATCTATCACTCTAATAACAGACACTTTCCCTGACTTTGGTTAGGCTAGCGGGTCAAAAATTAACCTAATGAAAACCAAAATCATGGGACACGGGCGTTGGACCAACAAACCAAATTACCCACTTAACCTGACAGGTACCAAAAAATTAAAACTTTACTGTATTTTTTCGTTTATATAACATATTGATTTGTAAGAAATTAACAATGATAAATTTTATTTTGCAATTTGTTGGGCAGATATGTATTTACAATAGTAATAAAAAAAATAGTAACTAAGTAATTAAGCGTTACATGCCCTCTTCCCCCCCCCTTCCCCCCACCTCTCGTGTTGTCTGTGCGCCATTTAGACTTGTCTACGTTCGTTTTAAACAGTGTGATAGAATACGTATAACAAGTAGTATTATACACCATTCACTAAATTCAATCAGGCGCGTCCGCCCGCGCAAGAGCAGGGTGCAATTTGCCACGAGCTATTCTCAAACTTTCTTCTAAAGCCGCGGCAACGCGCGGGGACAGGCACGCTAGTAGTAATTAAAAATTAGTAACTCTAAGTAATTAAGCATTACACGCCCTCTCCTCTTATTCGTCTGACCTCTCGTGTTGTTTGTGTTGTTTGTGTGCCATTAAGACCCGTTCTACCTATCAAAGACATTGTAGTACTACAAGACACTGCACTGCTACAAATGAATAAGTAATCCATTAACTTTCGTGTTTATATAGTGCGTTATGGACTTACGTGGAATAGTTTTTTAAACGAATTGAATGTATCATACCTTTGCCTGGGCCTGACAGTGGAATAATTCCTGAAATGTTTTTCTTTAATGTATTAAAAAAATCGAATGCTAACTCGGTTAGCAACTAGTCCTACGAAAGATTCATCAGAAATATTTGACTCAGTTCATTGGTAAAATCTGTGCTACTATGCAATTAGAAAAAAAAAATTGCTTCCTAAACGAATCAGTTCGAGGCGACTCTATATTATTTAGTTCGCAACGTCTGTTTGTTCGTTTGTTGTTTTTTTTGTGTGTCTTTACAGCGAACCTTGTAACTTAATTTTGACCCATCTCTAATGCAGCCTTTTCGTTCAAATGTTCCACATACGTTTCACTTTGATGAAAATACATGAAATGTAATAGTTATTTCAAATATAGCAATCAAAGAGGTTCTTCCCCTCCCTCAACCCTTTAAAGATTCACTTCATGATAAAGCAGTATCTCTCACGCAACACAACTGTGTGAACAATTACGTGTATAATCCGAACTGTGAAATCTATAAGTTGCTACAGTTTATATAGAACATCCTAATGAATCATTTCTAATATTTGTTAATGAAAACGTGACTAAGAAAGAGTTTACAACTAATTTTAAACGGCGAATTTTTTTGGCTGGATTCGGTGCTAAAAATCCGCTACTGTATACTGACTACGTCACAAAAATGGATATCATACAACGTGTCAAGGCCCCATACACCAACCAAACAAAGCAGCATTTGATCCTTGGTTGCTCTAAAAGGTCTCCATCTTAATATAATGGCCTCAGATCACAACGAGAGTCTATCGGTAAAAGCTATGCTTGGGGCTAATTTTTTAAAAAATTAACGACGTTATTAGAAGCCGCTCACGTGAATCTAGTACCACAACTGTAACTTTAAGATGTGGCGTCAACGTCAGTCCACAAAGCCAATATGCTGTAAATTTTGGGATGTATCAGCCACAAACGTCCCAACGCGACGATCCAATTTTCATGTTGTTGAAAGGACAGGTACGTGGCTGATATAGACAATCGATTTTTACTGTCTTTCTCTAATAGATACAGCTGCTGATTTATAAACAATGCGCTTTCTTTACTTTCCCAAACAACGTCTATACAGTGATGATATTCGTCTAACTAAAATTGATAGTAGTATTCCCGCCAAAAATATGAAATACAAGCCGGCCCGCGGCATAACATACGCCGCTATTTAGTTGTTGTTTTTTCTACTTTTCAGTAATTCATAATTTGTGAATTCGAGAGTACTAACGCTGCCACTGAAAATATTTCTTTAAAACACTATAAGTAGCTCGTTAAGGACCATAACCCCCCCCTTCCCCCCCCCCCCTACGTTTAAAATCGTTGGCTCTGCTTGTAAACATTTAGAGTGAACACAGCTCACTAAAACCATGTAGGGGTGGGGATGGTAGGGAGCGCGTTTGCAGCTTGTTTTCTAGCGGCTCCCAGAAGAGAATTATATATATATAGATATCCAAAGAGCCGTCAATTTAACACATAAATAACATGTGCAACTTTCACGTAAACGGCTCAAAGGCTTATTTCGTTTATGAATCTTTCGCTATAGAAATTTCATCTACAATATTTTTAGGTCTATTGAACTCAAATTCCTACAATGATTTGAAGGAGCGGAATCAGAAAAAAAGCCAATTTCGTCCATTGCGAATTGCGTAAAATAAAAAGTGCACTATCTTCGTTGGATTGATTAATTCAGTTGTGATTGTGATACAACTGTGCCAAAATTGGTAAGTTGTTTTTTTTTCCACCAAACACAGCATAGCTGGTAAAGTGTTTTTTGTGGTCGAGTTTGGTTGTTAAATACAAGAGAGGTGACGGTTCCACCGATTATTCCACTAAATTTCTGGTCTGTACATGAGAATTATCAAAATGGGATTCCAAGGACCCAAAACACAATTGAGGGGTAGCACAGGAGGTGGCTGGTAATCGTCGGAAAATATCACACTTGTGTGTCTTTTGTTTGCTCAAAAAAAACAAAAGAGTTGAAGTAGAGATGGAGGTAATATTGTTTGGTCAGCCATACAAAACAAACGAGAAAAAAAGTATTTACAAAAGAGCATAGGATAGCAAATGTCATTGCAGAACGTGAAAATAGAAGTAGAATTAAACTTTTACTTGACATAGCATACAGTATATCATACTAGGCCCTATTTTTTCTATGTTTTACTATAACTTAGCATTATGCAACTGTTTTTTTTTTAATAAAAATGAAACATGTCTGTTTGTTCTAGTTGGTCACTAATGCTCATCTAGTTTTTTGTGTGTGTCTATGTTGTAGTGTGTCAGTTACTATAGAGAAATCACTGCTGTAGTAGAACTGTTCTTTTTTTTACAAAACCACAAGGTGCAAAATACTTATTTTTCCCTGTTTTTGGTCGGATTTTGGGCTCCCTAAACGGCCTACTTCCACCAGCATAGCAGGGTCTGGCGGTACAGTCTTTGACTATGCACGAAAATTCATATTTCGAACAAATGTTTAAAGTGGAAAAATATATTTACAATAATAAGCGTTTAATAAATGCACTGAAAATATGAAAATAAAAGAAACTTCCATTAAAAAAAATAAAAGCTCATATAAGTATGAGATCTAGTGAGCGACTAAAGATTTATTCAAACAGAGCAAGTTTGTTTTATTTTCTTATTTAAAAGCTTTTAAATGAACGTCGTACTAACTCGAGCCCGGGATCCAAACTCTAGACCTTCGGGTTAGCAATCAAACACTCTACTATTTGACCACACCGTCCCTCAAGGTAAGGACTTTCCATATTTGTCTTGAGTCCTCTGATCTAAATTATTCACGAAAATTAAACTCAAACTTTGAAAGAATAAGCAGGAATATGATAGGAAATATTGAAATATAAAAAGTATTTAACAAGTAACAGCAGAGTTTCTTCCAGGCATCTCTTCGGGGGGGGGGGGGGGGGGGGGGGGGGGGGGGGTTGGAGAAGCAGCACAAGAAACCAATTGAGAAACGATAACAAAAGACTTTAAAATGTATCAAAAAGTAATATCATGAAGTAATATACACTACGAGCCGACCCGCTGCGTATCATACGCCGCTATTTAGTTGTTTTTTTTTTCTACTTTTCAGTAATTTATAATTTGTAAATTCGACAGTACCAATGCTGCCACTGAAAATATTTGCTTAAAAACACTGAACCCCCCTCCCCCCCCCCCCCCCACGTGAAAGCAGCCTCCTCTTCCTTACCTCCTCTAAGTTTAAAATCGTTTTAAACTAAATTATCTGCCCCTAATAGCCGTCACCAAACCCGTCTCCATAATTGTAAAATGTAAACATCGTGAACCACAGCTCACCAGATCATGTGAGGGGGTGGGGGGTGGGGGTGGTAGCGATAGAGAGGAAGAGAGGGGAATGTAAGGCGCGCTTGCAGCTTGTTTTCTAACAGCTCCCAGAAGAGAATTATATATATAGATATTGATTTCCTATTATGTATTTAAATAAAATCATAGCATGCCAATATATAAAAAATCTTGAAATTTTAAAAAGAAATTGATAAAAATTATAATTAAAACATAAAAATTTAAATACAATATACAGAGTGAAAAAAAAATTATTGTGCAATTTAAACGTAACTTTGTTCTGTTTATTACACACTTTTGATAAATCAATTAAACTCAATTTTCGAAATCAAGAAAACAGAAAACTGTAATTTTGTTTTAATGTCATAAAACAAATCTAATAAAAATCTGTAACATTTACAGAGTTTCTTCCAGGCATGTCTTCGGGGGGGGGGGGGGGGGGGGGGGCGCCTGCCCTTCCCCCCCCCCCAAAAAAAAATTTCTACCGCCCCCCCCCCCCCCCCCGAACGAAATAAAATGTATATAATTTATATAGAAAATATATACTTTTAACAGTGTCCGCCCCCCCCAAAGAAACTCCATCGCCCCCCCCCCCCCAAAATTTCAAGTGCCCCCCCCCCCCGGAGAAAAAAGTCTTGAAGAAACACTGAACATTTTCATATTGTAAAACAATATTAAAACAATTTTAAACTACTTGTCATTTTTTATGGCAGGTAACAGAAGTGTCCAGAAAGTTTGGTTATTTCTGTAGACCAGACACCTGTACAGCTGATTCCTTAAATAAGTTTCTACTTCAGGTGGGTATGTATTCAAGTCCACCCTCTCAACAAAGACAGGAACGATAACCTGACCTTGTACATTGAACTCTCGTATGATGGCCAGGTTCATCTCATACTCTCGGTAGTGATCCAAGAAAAGATCTTCAGACAACAAGACCAGCGTTTTTCTTGTGCCAGTTATAGCTCCACTGATGTGTGACACCATGTCCCCACCTGGAAAGTCCACTTCTCCTAAAATATAAGAGATGTTCTTCTCTCGCAAGAATGGTAGGATAACATCTTTTAAAAGTCTTCTTACTCTTGGTTCTCCCTGAAATGATAAAAATGTATAAATTTTAAGAATCCGTATTCACAAAATAGCTGAAGTGAATTTCGGTATGCAGTAAATAGGAAGGCTGTTTTGTAATTTTTTTTATTATGTGTAACAACAGATTGTTAATTAAGATGTTTAAAATAGAGCCTTTTTTAAAATTAATTTTAAGTAGTGAACATCTCTGGTTAATTTTTAGTTTGACGATGTAATAGATCGTTATGATTGTGTGTTAGACGTTAGTTTTAAAAATATTATTAATGAGCACTGTTTAATAATGTCAAAACTATTTCAGGCTTGTTGAGAATGTCCGATTAAAAAAATTTTCTTATAATAATTACATTTTTAAAAAAACATATTTCGAACCTAGCTGCAGGTGAAGTATAGTTTACCTGCTTCTATAACCTCGGTATATGTAGGAACAGTGTGGTCGACACTATGCCCAACCGCCTTTCTTTCGCTAACGATTCGCACACGGATTCGAACAAAAAATTCAAACTCGAGTTAGCAGTCCTTTACTGTATTGTCTGACCACACTACCATATATTTTTAAAATTACATTTTAATGACATAAAAGCATTTATATAGCAAAAAATAATTAGCATCTCTCTGTATGTTTAAAAAAAATATATGTATTGACATACCTCATCGTACGTGACGAATACATCAACCTGTGGGTTGTAGTTGACCACACGTCCACCGATGTGCAGCCGTCGTTGACCAATAAAGTAGAGGTATCTCAGCTTCCAGCGGTAATGGAAAAACACGACCAGAACAAGCAAACACAGGAGATGGGTGAAAAACACTGACAGCACGTAGCTGAAATTTTCTTTTATCTGACACATTTTTGAGAACCCTTGCAATTTCTCAATCATCTGAGTGTAGTTGAACTTTACACTTGTTTCTGTTGCAAAGAAAATGTTTTCTTTTTCATAGAAAATTTCCGGGCTTTCAGCTAACAGATACAGGATTGGAAGATTGGCGCATTCAAATGCAAACACGTTACCCTGCAAATCTACCAAAAACTCAGGGTTGTGTGACTTTAATCTTTGCAACTCATTTGCCATTTCTTGTGTGAAGCCATTCAGCTGATTGTGTGACAGATTTAAGTAAGTCAAATTGAGATGAGTTAAAGTTGACGAATGAAATGATCTAATCTGATTGTAGCTCAAATCAATTTTTTTCACGCTCTTTGGAAATGTGTAGTTTTTGTGAATTTGGTCAAAATTTAAGTTAGACATCCGAAGTTCTTCGAGGCGCAGAAGATTTGACATAAGAAAATTAAATTTCTTTCTTAAATAGATGGTGCCTTCAATGTGAGATATGTTCAAAGTTTTGAGTCTGTACAGGCCTTGAAAAGTCCTTGGGATCATTCGGTTGTAAGACAAATCCAAAAATTCTAAGCGATGTAATCCAATACCTTTAGACTCATTATATTTTCTTTCATGAAGTCTCAAAAATTTGTCAGACCTGTTTCATGTCGAAATAAAATAAAAATTACATATAAGAAGCCTGGTTAAATGGGCGGATAACGAATGCAAAGAAGGCAGCAATCGTTAATTTTATTTTTATTTTTTATAGTTTTTTTTTTTGTAATGGGAAATAATCTGACTTAATACAATATATTGTAGATAAAAAGAAATATCAGTATAAAATATAATTCATTTTGCACCAAATGACTTAATCCCGAAGAACACTTAGAGAAATGATTTGCAAGTACACGTTCAACCGGCTATGCTTTGAGTGACCAGTAGCAATTGACCCTTCCGTAAATAGCATGAAAGTTATCCGAGAGGCCCATTATATATCTTAAAAATTATGCACAGTGTAATTAAAGTTAATATGGTTTAACAATCCTGACTGGTTTTTTTGGACTATTTTTTGACGTTTTAGAATTTTCAGTATTTAAAAACAGATTTTAAAAAGGTAAAAGCAATATGGTATTCACGTGGTAATGGCGACATAAACGAAGACATCCTGCTATTCGAAAGGCTAGCATATATTTCGTTATACAAAAAAGGCAGAACTAGGTCATGTTGTTTTAAATAGCATAGTTTTATTTACAAACTTAATCAGCAAAGTTTTATAAGTAAATAACTAAGATATGTGGGGTAGTCAGAAAATCGATCACGAGTTCCTTTACAGCCAATCAATATTTGTCTTAAGTAAAGTTTATAACTTAGGTTTAATGAAAATAATTAAAAATGTAGCCTTAAGAGATTTGATCCCAAGAGATTTGATTAAAATTTATGTTGATTCTAAAAAATCAAACTGTATATGTAAACTAAAACTTTCTGATTTTTTTTTTGTTATTCATTTCAGTTTATAAAATAAGCGGAGTCGATTACAAATTCATGTGATTTATACTTTGACAGTAAAAAAATATTTCAGATTCAAATAATTGTGATGATTTTTATGCCTGATGTTTCTATGTATTGAATCCCTTAAAACTGATCAAGGCTACTTAATATCTAACAAAACATAAACTAAAATATTTTTATGCCTGTTTTTCGACAGGGTTGCATGTAGTATATATATATATATATATATATATATATATATATATATATATATATATATATATATATATATATATATATATATATATATATATATATATATATATATATATATATATATATATATATATATATATATATATATATATATATATATATATATATATATATAATTCACTACTAATTCAGCAAACTATACCTTCTGTATTTAAAGTGGTGAAAGGGATAAGAATGTCTCGATTGAAACCCATGGAAAAAATTGTAAACTTTAAAAAATAAATGTATGCGTATATTTAACCAATAAGCTATTTCATATAAAAAGGGAACTTCTAGACTGTAACCCTAATGTATGTAGCAGTAAACCATCAGTTACACAGACTAGAAGATTCATGTTCACCACACACAATCTAAATGTTTGAATGATTTTGCTGAATCTTGTAGAAACTCTAAAGATTATATATATATATATATATATATATATATATATATATATATATATATATATATATATATATATATATATATATATATATATATATATATATATCAGTAAGTTCATAGTTTTACCTTTTCAAAACACTTGACTCTTCTGAGTTAAATATTTGATGGCTCAAATCTAAATATTTCAAAGTATTTAATTTGCTGGACAAATCGTTAAGTAATGCTATATAGTTAATTAAGTTTCGACGTAAGTTAAGTCTTTCCAATTTAGGTGGCAGAGAACAATTCTCACGGACCGGCTGATACATTATACTATTCCTAGAAACATCTAAAGCTCTAATGTTTGTGTCTACAAAAGTTTCAAACACTTGGCATAATTCGAAAAACAGGATCCGTTTCATGAAATTCAGATGTACTTTAGGGCAATTTAAACGTTGAAACATCTTCTTAGCATTTAAAATGTGTATTAGCGTAAGTTGTGTGTAACTAAGGTCCAATTCTGTCACGTTTGCATCCGCAATAAGCGACGTTTCAGATAAACTAGTGATAGGGCAATGTTTTAAACTGACGGTCAATTTATGTCGTGATTTTATATTTTCCAAGAAGAAGTCGCCTAATGAGTAATTATAAAAGCCAGGCAAGAAATCTAAACTCCTTAGATTCCTCAACTCTTTGAATCCAGGGCCCAGTTTACAGTCCGTTCCATATAAACGTAAATTCTGTAGGCTAGTTAACAATGCAAATGCCTTGTCAGGATAACATCCTAATGAAGATACCGGGTTGATATCTAAAGATCCTGAAAAAAAAACAAGGTTGAGATAAATTAAAATAATATAGACAAATAATACCTAACCATTCACAAATCTGTTATAAAAACCGCCAGGTAATGTATCATTCCTTTCTTTCGTAATTGGCCTAACTACATTGTTTTTGGTTCTTAAGCTGTTTCATAATTTGATTGTTGCATTTTATTCAATCTTAGTCTATGTAATCATGCTAATTTTTTTTTTAAATCTTTAAAAGCAAGCTATAAAATTATAATTACTTTTTAAAACAGTAACGCCGTTTGGGCACAATAGCTTACACTCGCATGAACCTAAACCTAAACCTAAACCTAAACCTAAACCTAAACCTAAACCTAAACCTAAACCTAAACCTAAACCTAAACCTAAACCTAAACCTAAACCTAAACCTAAACCTAAACCTAAACCTAAACCTAAACCTAAACCTAAACCTAAACCTAAACCTAAACCTAAACCTAAACCTAAACCTAAACCTAAACCTAAACCTAAACCTAAACCTAAACCTAAACTTAATCCCAAACCTAAAACTAAAGTTCCTCTTTTAAACCTGGTGGTATTTGGGACAAGTGAAGTAGAGTGTGCCTGTTTCTGTAACCTCGGCTTATAAAAGGGTAGTGTGGTCAGCAATACGCCCAGCACCCTCTGCTTTCCCTAATGTACGTTAGATTCTTATCAGAGCTGGGTGGACTCGGGGACGGTCTACTGGCTTAAAACACGTATTCAAACTCGAGACTTACAGGTTAGCAGTCTAGCTCTCGACCAACCAAAGACCAAAACAGAAACTAGGTGGATAAGGCATTATGGCTCATAGTCTGTGCGCCATTAAGACCAGTCCGTCTATCAATGACACGGTAGTACAATATAGTGAAATATAATCTTTAGAATAATTTCCAGTGGCGTTGCGAAGGGAGTGCGGGCAGGGTGGTCGCCCCGGGCGCCTATCCTAAGGGGCGTCAAATGGAGTAAACAACTATTTTAAGCTGAAGTATTGAGTTATACACAGTCAAAGTTACGAAAATAAACGACTACAAGGCTTCTGATTTAACCGTTTTCTATATCAATTTTGTAGTATCGAAATTGAAAATATTACGGAATAGTAACTGGTAAGAAGCGCCACAAACCTTTTCAACTAATGGGGGGGGGGGGCGGGAGGCTGGTGCTTTTTAACATACTGGAATAACCATAGATAACCATAGATTGGAGTGGGATGGGGGACACAAAATTGATAGTCGACAGAATAGGTATCAACGCCTATGTTAATTTGATATATCATACCTGTTGTAAAATCTGTTAGCGAAATGATTCCTGGAGAATTTTTCTTTAATGGTCTGTTCAGTAATTCATAACTGTATTTTAAATCTGTTAGCAGCTTAAGTCCAGCAAAAGAATTATCAGAAACATTGTGAATGTACCATTCGTAGATTACTAATTCCTTTAAGTTTGTCAAACCAGCGAAGACACCATCCTGCAAGAGTGTTAGACGATTCAAACGAAGCTCCAAATAGGCTAAGTTGCGTAGGTTTGCGAACAAATTCACCGGCAGTTCTGCAATGATATTGTCTTGTATTATAAGATATCGCAATGAAAAACTCTGTGCATGAAAATACTTCTCGCACGTGTCTATGCCTTGAAAGCTGTCGAGTCTCAAATATTCTAGTTGATTTAAATTATCGACCGCGGCGCAAATTATAGTTACTCTTTCAATGCCAGTTAAGCTTAACCTTTTGGTATTAGATGGCACATGCGGCCAATTAGGATAACAACGGCATGCCATTTTATAAGTAAAACACAAGCACTGATCTGGACAAGACTCGTTGATTATTTCACCGGGATTGTTCCAAGTTAGCTCTGAGTTTGTATGATTAAATACAGCGTTTTTCCTTTCATCATAATAGTTGACAGCATTTGTAGTAAACATAAACAATCCATTCGATAAGAAAAATATCAAATGCGTCGCAGTTGTAGAAGAAAATTCCATTTTCTTTTGAAGTAAAGAAACAAACTTGCCAAATTTATAATTACGGCTATGAAATGGTAAAACTGTTACGCACGGTTCATGAAAACACAGAATATAACTTTGAAATGAACGGGATGTGTTTTGTTGAGTAGGGCTGATGGAGATAAACATGTGTTTCCTGTTCAATCTGAATGCTCTGTGCCGCCTTCAGATAATAATCTACTTGTGAGGGGCAGGTGGCGGTAGTTTCAATAACCGTGCTATAACATTCTATAAGAAAGAAGGGGTTGGGGTGGTAGTTTCAATAGAAGTAATATAATATACTATAAGAGAGAAGTAGTGGGGGGGGGATTGTAGTTTCAATAAAAGTGCTTTAACATTCTGAAACAAAGAAAGATGGTGGAAGTTTCAATAGAAGTGCTTTAACATTTAATAAGAAAGTAGGGGGGTAGTGGTAGTTTCAATTGAAGTGCTATAGAAATCGTATTGGGAGAAGGTTTATTTACTTTGTTTGCTCTAACTTAACATCGCTAGTTTGTAATTATTGCACCGCGTTAAAAGTAATTGCAACTTTAGAAGAAGTTATAATTAAAACAAATTCAGACATGTCATTTTAATAGGCCTACTTATTAAATGCAAATTAGCAATTGAATGTTAATTAACTAATGTGATACATTGGTATAAAGTACTGTAGTATCAATTTCAAAATATAGAAATTAATTTAAGTTAATCTCGTACACCGGTATGCTCTCGCCAGCAACACTCTTTCGACTCCATTGCTAACCTTAATGAAAGTCATAAATTATATTAAATCTGGAGCCCTAAACATCCGTCTGTTTAAAGAACTATGAAAAGATATGAATAGAGATCACGAGGTTATGCTTTTCTACATTACAGTACGCTGGCTACGCTGGCTACCCTATTATCTCTTTTCATGATTATCAAACCTCCAAATTGGCGAAGAAAAATAAATCTTGTAAATATTGCCATGTCTGGTGAATATGACTGTGAGGTAAATACAAATTTGAAAGAGCAGATTTCTGGGCATCTTGAATCTCTTGGCACCGAACTGCGGCGTTATCCCTGTGGTGAAAGAAGAAGAATCTGCATTTATACATTACCCATCCTCTTCTTCCTTTGATGTTGCCAGTATTCCCAGCGAATTACAAAATGAATTCTTAAATGTGAGGAATGATTCCGCGTCAAATGAAAAACTGATCACCAAATTTTGGTGTAGTATTCACCATTCATACCCAAACGTGAAATTGATTGCCTTTTGAGTTTTAGTTCCTTTTGTGTCTAAATATCTTTGCGAGAATAGATTTTCAACACGTCTCCAATTAAAAACAAAACAAAGAAATAAATTAAATGTTAAGAATGACATGAGGTTAGCGTTAACAAAACCTCAACCGCGAATGTCGAGGCTATTTAATAGCATGCAATTTTTTTTCATCGTATTAAAACAGTTATCAATAATAATTCACATTGAAAGTCTACTAGAAAATCCAATTTTAGTACTGATTAATTTCCTTACTAATTTCGACTTTTTAATTCTATGGGGGTCGCGGGTCACTGAATTTTTATAAAAGGTGGTCGCCACTCGAAAAAGTTTGGGAATTACTGATCTAGTAGCTATATAATTTATATCTCCAAAAATAATTGGTCCTTAAACTGGATGTTTATAGATAGGCTAATAATTTACCTACACTAAATAACAGGAACGACAATTTACTACAACGTTGGCTATTTTCGGTTATCAAACTGTAACATTTACTTTAAGACCTAACTTTAATCATAATCCATAACAACGTTGTATTTAACCTTCAAATTGGCCTACATGTGCTCATCAAATCAATGCTATTATACAATTAGAATGATAAATATTTTTACATTATACACCATCAGTTCGGGACGAGTCTCATTATTATAAGATTGTATTTAATTTACTGTGTTTGTTTGCTTGTTTGTGAGTTGTGGCAAACGTTTAACTCGATTTTGGCCCACTTTTAATGCACCTATATCTATGGTGACAATGCAAGCATATTTATCTTTTAATCTGATAAGAGATTAGATTATCCATTAACATTTTAAAAAAAAATTACTTATTTCAATAATAAATGGGAAAACAATAAAGTAAATTATGGAAATCGTCAAACCAGCTGGCAGCTGGCGATGAACTCTTGCCTGAAAGTCGACCCTGGACTTAGAAGAAGCAGATAATTGTCTTTTAAAGATCGCAAGCCACTGGTCGGTTTTCTAGGCACACACAAATTTAGACGTATGAGCTTTCGACTCCAATAAGAACGAATTAATAACAAAAAGCAGATAAACAATTTTAGCAAACCTTTAAATCAAAAACTTGTAAATGCACTGAAAATAGGAAAATATAACCACTTCCTTTTTCTTTATAAAAACTATTTCATTAAAAAAGCAAGTTTGTTTTATGTTCGAATTTTCAGTGCATTTAAAAGCGTGTTTTACACAGGGTTTTATATTTGTTTTATTGGATTCGCTTCTAAACCATGTGTCCACCCAAGAACAAACTATAAGGCATCGGTTGCTTGCTTTGGAGTTTTCTCTACTAGACGAAAAGCTGTCTCCATTTATCGATCCGGTGGTTTGACTAGGGACTTTTTGTTTTAGCAACCTTGAACTTGAATGACTCAGCTATATGGTCCGTTTAGTGCATAGACAATATAGTTATATTAGGCTCATACATTTTTATATGTGATTACCATATTTTTAAATAAATTAGAAATTATTTTGGTGTGATTAAGTTAACATGTGGGATCACTATCAAAATGATTTGTTTTGACGTTCTTTTAATCATCGCAATTTCTATAAATATTATTATTGTGTATAGGGATTAAGATATTAAAGATTAAGCTATATTTTAGTGAATCTCTGGGTTTTAAAATTTTTTAAAAAATTAAGTTTTCAAAGTACTCCTTTAAAACTTAGTTTGCATTGGGTATTTAATCAATATTTATATTGTGTGACCTACTTAGGTCTTGTATTTTTTTAGTTTAGCATTTATTAATCAACCATGGGTGACCCGTGGTGTAATCACCGGTATTTTTCCATAGTTTCAAGAAAGACATATACCCAGTACTTTTCCATCACGATGTGATGCGATCCTTCTATAATTACGATTGGTCAATTCAGACATCACCAATAGCCTTATGACTTGAAAGTGACCTCCCATGTTTCCCAAGTTGTTAAATACCCTGCGCACACGTTTCTCGCAGCAGCAGTCCTGACCAGACATTCTGAGAGAGAAAGCCGTGTATGTCGCCATTTTGCAGTCTATAGTTTTAAATCAGCTTTTTCCCTTATTACTTGTGGCTTAAGTAATACTGTGTGCTTTAAGTAGTTTTATATAAGCTGTGGTGATTTTCTTAAGTGCCATATCCTGTGATAGTGTAACATTGTTTTTTCTTCAACTTGTAAGTTGGGTTTTGTTTATTCTGCTAATTCATTATATTTTGTATAAAGCTAGAGTCTTACTTGGAACTTGTACACATTTTAAAAGTTATATATGGATTAAAAGTGTTGTTGGTATTAAGAGTTCTTCGAGTTTATCCCCTAGACGTTAAGTACGAGTCCTCGGAGAATTGTTGTGCCAGCTGCCTTTTATGGGCTATGAGCCATCTGTGTGTAACCCTGTAAACGAACCCGGGTACGTTCGCCAGCTCTGCGTCTGCTAGAGTGGTGTTCGTAATTAGTGAGGACCCGTCCGGATTTAATTTGTTGTACGAGTTTTTGGTTTAGACACTAGGTTTAGATCTAGATCTAGTGAGTTTTCTCTTAGTCCAGTAAAGCCGTGTGTGAACACCGCCCAAGGCTAGAGATGCGTTATCTAGGTCAGAAGGTCAGTCGTGTCGTGTTTTGGGTCGAGTTGATAGCAGATCCTTGTGCTGTGTTAACCTAGAGAGTTTGTTTTGGTTTTGAAACTGTAGTTGGATAATGGAGGCTTTTTAATTGAAACCTACAGTTGAAGAGGTTGAGAAACTAAGTAGAAAGTATTTAGTTGGTGTAGTGACAGAGTTGAATTTAGATTTCTCGGTTACTCAAAAGTCACGAGTGCTAAAGGATAAGGTTATAGTACTTTTTATCAACGAAAATGTATTTGAAGAGAGTCTGTTAGCTGATGTGTTACTTCGTGAAGAGAAATCTCTAGAGAAGGCAGAATTAGAAGCTAAAGTTGCTCTAGAGAAGGAGAAAGTTGCTCTAGAAAAGGCTTTAAAAGAAAGAGAGTTAGAAGCTAAGATAGAGTTAGATAAGAGGAGGTTAGAGTTGGAGTTCGCTAAGGTTAGTGGTAATGTGAGTTCTGTAGTGGATCCTGAAAAGTTGTCAGTTGCTCAGGTTATTGCCAAATTTTGTAAACTGGTCCCGAAGTATAACGAGGTAGATTTGGTTGTTTTCTTTAACTCCTTTGAGAGTTTAGCTAAAGCATGTGAATGGCCCGAAAATGCTGTCACCGCTTTATTAAGCACAGTTCTTATAGGGAAAGCTGCTAGTACATTCATTTCACAGGCACTCTCTCGGGATGTACAAACTAATTATGGGCTGGTCAAAGCTGCCATTTTAAAAGCCTACGAGTTAACGCCCGAGGCTTATCGGATGAATTTCCGAACACTCAGAAAACAGCCTACACAATCCTATGTGGAGTTTCTGTTCGAGAAAGAAAAAGTTTTCTCGGGGGGGGGGGGGGGGGGGGGGGGGCTCAACTCAGAATAAGTCACAGAGTTTGAAAAACTCAAATCTCTGGTCCTGAGAGAAGAATTCTTAAATTCCCTACCCGAAGAGATCCGTCTACATATCCTCGATAATAGGATAGTTGACATTAAGAAGGCTGCTGAGTCGGCAGACACATACATGTTGGTTCATAAAAGACCACAAGTGTCAAGTAACCGACTTAATCCAGTACTCCCCCTCATTGGCCAATCTTCGAAGTCGTTCCAGTCAATAGAGAAGCCCAGAACCACACCCAGTCGACGAGCAGTATGCCAATATACTTTGTCTTTTATGACTATGCATAAATATCCATATTTCTAGCGAATGACAAAAAGTGGGGGAAAAACCATTATAATAATAAGCTTTTAAATGTACTTAAAAAAAATAAAACAAACTTTATTTTTTAAAATAAAAGCTGTAAAATATAATAAATCTATTGAGCGACTAAAGATTTGATTAAAGAATGCGAGTATGTTTTATTTTCTTATTTTTAGTGCGTTGAAAAGAGCATTATATCATACATATATTTTTATTAGTTTGCTTCCATAGCCTTTGAACATCTAAGACAAAACTACAAGGTCGCAATTGTTTGATTTTTGAGTTTTCTCTCCCAGAAGAGAAGCTGTCTCCAGCCATCGATCCTGAGATTGAACTTGTGAGTTTTTAGTTTAGCAGCAATGAGCTTAACCGACTATACCGACCATTTTAGTGCATGAAAAATATTGTTGTATTAGGCGAATACATTTTAATTTTTCTTAAATTTTCTTTCTTGAGTGAAGTATTAATAATAATAATGATGTTTTTTTAATATACATTTAAATATATGAAAACTTAGTTAGCTCTGATTAACAAGTGGTAAAAAAATAAAGAGAAACTATTTTGGTGTTCTTCTGAGACTAGTAGTTTAAAGTAATATTCAGTACTCTATTAAAGAAAGATAGCCTATATTTTTTTATGAATCACAGAACATCAAAATTCAATCAACAAAAAACATTTTACATTTTCAAAGTACCACTTTATTAATTTTCATTGGATGTTAAACAAATCCTTTATATTGTGATTTAGTTATTTCTAAACAGTATTTGAGAGCTATATTTTTTTAACTTCCTGCACATTCACATACATTAGAAAAAAAATTGGTTATTTAAAATACCATTGTTTACAATATGCTTTCATCCATAGCGTAGCAACAGCGAGTGGTGATAAACCACATGTTTGATGTATCATCAGTTTTCCCTCTTTCGTGCATACTATAAACCCTCTCACTGCTTAACTGCCGAATACATACTCCACAGTTATAACATACTAGGGAATAATGGTGCCAGGTCTATGCTCAGCCGCTTTTGATTCCCAAACGTTATTAGTTGAGTGGACAACGTCGTATTAACTCGAGGCAGGGATCCAAACTCGAGACCTTCAGGTTAGCAATCAAACGCTCTACTATTTAACCACACCGTCCCGCGAAGTACAGAATTTTTTTATATTTTCTTGAGTCATCTGATCTAAATTATTTACGAAAATCAAACCCGAACTTTAAAAGCACTAGCAGGTATAAGATAAGAAAGTAATGAAATATAAAATGCATACCACAAAAACAGCATAAGTAAATGGAAAAGGATAACAAAAGACGTTTAAAAAAGGTAATAAAATAACGTAAAATAAACCATAATGCATTCATACTATGCATAAAAATAAAATCAAAGCATGCCAAAATATGTATGTAAATAATAATGGAATGTTAAAAAAGAAAATGGTAAATAATATTTTAAAAAATAAAACATCTATAATATAAGCGGGCAAGTAGTGTGTCAGTCCTTCCGTCATCGCTATAGATTTTGGAACCATAAAAGTAAACATTCGCACCACGCAGTGCTTTTCAGTGCACCTCAGTGTCTTATTATAAGTATTAGAGTTGGGTTTGTTTATATAGTGGCATAGAGCTATTTTATAATTTCCACTGTTTGTACAATTTTGCATAACGTAAAGAGAATATTAAATACACGCACATTGCTAAAACATATTAAAAGGATCAATGTCAAATATAGTTTTTGTTAATATTCCTAGAAAAAGTGGATACATTTTAATAACATAATAGCTGTAGGTTAGAAAAATCTAATTAAACTGTTTAGTAATTTTGCCAAGGGAGGTATTTTAAAAATAAATTGAACTTACGCTAAAAATGTGAATGCAAAATCTGCAAGACGGAATAATTGTTGGAATATTATAATTAGCATTGATTGATAAAATGCTATTTTTTATTTATTTTATTCACTGAATGTAATGTTTACTACTTATAATTTTTAATCAACTATTAAGCACTATTATAGACGCGTCATCACGTTCATTCGGTGCGCAATGGTTTTAGTTATGAAACTCTATTGTAAATTTTTAAAATTTAAAGTACTGGGAAAAAATGCGTGAATGGATAAAGTGAAATATTGTAGGTAAAACACAGATATTTTAAATACTGCTGGGGGTTTTATAGGAGAGGCGTAGAGAGGGGGGGGGACATATGTCCCCGGTTGCCGACCTAAGGGAGTGGGTTGGAAAAAAATTGCGGAGAGGGGGGGGGGGGGTGGTGGAAATTGAAATTTTGAGGAGAGGGGGTGCAAATCGTAAGTTTGAGGGGGGGAGTCAAATCGAAAGTTATTCCCCGGGCGCCGGAAAGGGTCGCTACGCCTCTGTTTTATAGTCATTCACTGTGTCAGACGCGTCCGGCGGCGCTCGGAAAGGGCGCGATTTGGCGCTACGGGCTAGACTGTGAGCAATATGCCTTTTTTATTGCATTTAAATTGTGTTTATGTTGTGAGTGTTATGTTTGTTTTTTCGTTTGTTTTTTTGCGTTCGTTTGTGTTGTGTTTAGTTTTGTTCTGTTCACAAGTTGGTACATTTAAAAAAGATTTACCGTGGCGGAGCACGGGATGCAGCTAGTAAAAATATAAAAGAATTATGCAGTATGAGAAAAAGCTATAGTGCAATTTAAACGTGTATCTGTTCTGTTTATTTTTAATTTAAATACATTTATTCAACTCACTTTTCAAATCAAGAGAACAGATGGCTGTAATTTAATTGTGATTTTGTAAATTAAAACCAATCTAAGCAAAAATGTAACAAAAGTAAAACAATATTAAAACAATTTTAAACTACTTGTCATTTTTTATGGCATGTAACAGAAGTGTCCAGAAAGTTTGGTTATTTCTGTAGACCAGACACCTGTACAGCTGATTCCTTAAATAAGTTTCTACTTCAGGTGGGTATGTATTCAAGTCGACCCTCTCAACAAAGACAGGAACGATAACCTGACCTCGTACATTGAACTCTCGCATGATGGCCAGGTTCATCTCATACTCTCGGTAGTGATCCAAGAAAAGATCTTCAGACAACAAGACCAGTGTTTTTCTTGTGCCAGTTATAGCTCCACTGATGTGTGACACCATGTCCCCACCTGGAAAGTCCACTTCTCCTAAAATATAAGAGATGTTCTTCTCTCGCAAGAATGGTAGGATAACATCTTTTAAAAGTCTTCTTACTCTTGGTTCTCCCTAAAATAATAACAATGTATTTACTTTCGGAATGAGTATTCACAAAATTGTTGAAGTGAATTTCGGTATGCAATAAACAGGAAAGCTGTTTCCTAATTTTTAAATATGCGTAACAACAGACTGTTAATTAAGCTGTTTAAAATAAAGCACGTTTTTAAAAATTAAAATTAAATTTTAAGTAGTGAACATCTCTGGTTAATTTTTAGTTTGACAATGTAATAGATCGTTATGATTGTGTTTTAGACGTTAGTTTTAAAAATATTATTAATGAGCACTGTTTAATAATGTCAAAACTGTTTTAGACCTATTTCAAGAATGTCCAACATTGTTATTTTCTTATAATAATTAAATAAATAAAAACATTTCGAGCCTAGATGTCTATAATACAGGTGAAGTAGCGTTTATGTAGGGACAGTGTGGTCAGCACTATGCCCAACCGCCATTCTTTACATAACGTGAGTTAGGTACCAAACAGAGCTCGATGGACTCCGAGAAACTTTACGGAGTCAAACACAAAATCCAAGCTCAAGTTAACAGTCCTTCACTCTAATATCTGACCAAAGTGCCAAATATTTAAAAAATAACATTTAAGTGACATACAAGCATTTGTATAACATAAAATAATTAGCCCATCTCTGTATCTTTAAAAAATAAAAATTATATGTAATGACATACCTCATCGTACGTGACGAAAACATCAACCTGTGGGTTGTAGTTGACCACACGTCCACCGATGTGCAGCCGCCGTTGACCAATAAAGTAGAGGTACCTTAGCTTCCAGCGGTAATGGAAAAACACGGCCAAAACAAGCAAACACAGGAGATGGGTGAAAAATATTGTCAACACAAAGCTGAAGATTTCTCTTATCTGACAGAATTTTGTAAGTCTTGGAAGTTGTGCAACCATCTCCGTGTAGTTTAAATAAGTATTGTCTTCCTTTCTGAACATAATTTCGTCTACGGTCTCAAACATGTGTGTGTTGGTCACCAAGAAATGTAGACTTTGAACGTACGTGCAGATAAATTGAAACTTATTATTAGATAAATCTACTAGAAATTGTGGATTATCAAATTTTATTCTCTTTAGCTCTTCACGCATTTCATCTGATAGACCAGGTAAACGGTTGGACGACAAATCTAAATATGTCATGTTCAAATGTCTTAGTGTGTATGCCTCGAAAAACGTCAATCGATTTTTACTTAAATATAATCTTTTAAGGTTTTTCGGAAAATAAAATGTGCTTGATATAAAATCTATGTTACATTCATTCATCCTTAGTTCTTCGAGCTTCGCCAAATCTGTTCTTAGCCAGCCGTCGTCTAAATCTGATCCACAGAGTTCAGAACCGCTAGAACCTGACAGTTTTAGAACACGGAGATTTTTCATCCCTTCAAATGTGTTAGGATAAAAATGACTGTAAGAAATGTCCAACTCTTTCAAATTAGATAATCCATTAAATTTAGAATAAACTTGTTTTTTTCTAGTCTTGTTCTGATGTAATCTGTAAGAAATTTTTTTTACTATAAACAATAGAACAGATAGGTGTGTAAGAATTGGATGAATTTATAGTTTACCATGTATTACTTACAATTCAACATTCTGTTTCCAGGAACTTTTAAAACGTAATCTTGTGAGCGAGTTTTCTGGCGAATGTCTCAGGGCATCAATGAACTTATCTACAAACGCACCGGCATCTGTAATCAGTGTTTTCAACGTTGGAGGGACTCTTAAATATTCAATTTTTGGTTTGAAGATAACCTTATTTCCAGCCATTGATAATTTTTTTATTTGAGTTTCCATAAACAATTCCAAAACATCATCTAAATAAACCGTATAATGTGATTCCTGAGTTAATCTTTCCATCGAAAACTCCTGCACGTTTTTGAACTGTTGGAATGAGTCAAAAATTTGTTCTAAAGTTAGTTGTGTTTCATCAAGGTTCAGGCTTGACAACGTCGCTCCCATCACAAAAGATGTGTTGGTGAAGCTTGAGAGTGGACATTTTGCCAACGAAATAGATATATTTTGCCCTGATTGTATGTTTTCAAAATATTTATCACATAAGTGAGTCAGATAGCATGATTTTCTTTCGTAGAAGATTAATGATTGAAGACGTTTTAGCTTCCGGAATCCGGGACCCAATTTACAGTTAGTACCGGGTATTGATAGTTCTCTCAAGTTTGTCAACACAGACAACGCCTTGTCGGGTACACACGAGGAGGTGTCATTGAAATGGCTTGAACCTGAATTATAAAATATTTATTAGAGTTAAAGATTTTACTGGTTGAAAATTCCAAAGTTTAAGCTTTTCGTATACATAATTTTAAATTGTGGGACATTGAAATCATTTGGATAATTGCCCAAATGAGACAAACGCCCGAAAGTCACTTGCCCGATAACAAATTAAATATTATAGATTATCCAGAGGACATTCTAAATAAATTTGATTAACCATTTAGATCATTCTAAACATAATTCTAACACAGTCCTCAGCAGAAATGCTCTAAACAGAAGTTTGCTTATATTTTTTGATGCACTAAATAAGAAAAAAAACAATCATTTTCTTTAAATATTATTATAATACTCTGCTATTTAAATTTCTATTTTTAAAAAAGCATGGTTCTCTTCCTAAATATTGGTAAAGGTATTAATAGAAAATATAGTGACCCTCACTTTTCTTTATTATAATTTAGATAGGAGTGTATTATTGTATATTTCAACCACTTATAACAGGCCGTATCGTTTCAAACTCGGCCCGTGGGTCACGACCAGATGACAATGCAATGTAACATCATAATTTGATTAAATTAGAAGCCTAATTGATTTTTAAAGAATTAATTAATGTTTCCTATATAACGTATTATTTTCCACACTATTGTGCACACATTTGTTCTGTTCAATTGCTTTTAGTAATTCAAATCTATTGTATTAAAAATTTTCACTTACCAGGAATTTTTTAATGAGATTTTTTAAAAATAACTAGCTATTATGTAAATTATGCACTAATTTTTTTTTCTTCCTTTAAATATATGACAATGCACCACTATTTAAATAGCTATAAAAATCGTGGGACACTGTTATGTATTGAATACATAAAATTTACTAAACTTTAAGAAGCTAACCACATTTTTATTTCTAGTAAGCTTAAAATTATATTTAAAGAATATCATTTATTAGTAGTATATTAGTTCCTTTTTGGGTATTATGGTGGTGGTGGAGCCGCAGGGACAATGAGATATAGTAAAATACTCCACCACCTGGTGGTGGTGATGGAAAGGGGGGGTGGTGGTGGAGTAGAGGGGGAGAGGTGGTGGAGGAGATGGGGAGTAATGGTGGGGTGGAGGAGAGGGTGGTGGTGGTGGTGGAGAGGGGGAATGGTGGTGGCCTGGGGGTGGCGGTGGTGGTGGAGGAGGTACAATGACATATAGTAAAATACTCCAGGTGCAGGAGCAGCCGCAGGGACAATGAGATATAGTAAAATACTCCACCACCTGGTGGTGGTGATGGAAAGGGGGGGTGGTGGTGGAGTAGAGGGGGAGAGGTGGTGGAGAAGATGAGGAGTAATGGTGGGGTGGAGGAGAGGGTGGTGGTGGTGGTGGAGAGGGGGAATGGTGGTGGCCTGGGGGTGGCGGTGGTGGTGGAGGAGGTACAATGACATATAGTAAAATACTCCAGGGGTGGTGGTGGTGGTGGTGCAGGGTGAGGGTTAGACATGCTATATAGTAAAATACTCCAGGGGTGGTGGTGGTGGTGCAGGGTAAGGGTGAGGGTTAGACATGCTATATAGTAAAATACTCCAGGGGTGGTGGTGGTGGTGGTGCAGGGTAAGGGTGAGGGTTAGACATGCTATATAGTAAAATACTCCATGGGTGGTGGTGGTGGTGGTGGGGCAGAGTAAGGGTGAGGGTTAGACATGCTATATAGTAAAATACTCCAGGGGTGGTGGTGGTGGTGGTGGTGGTGCAGGGTAAGGGTGAGGGTTAGACATGCTATATAGTAAAATACTCCAGGGGTGGTGGTGGTGGTGGTGGGGCAGAGTAAGGGTGAGGGTTAGACATGCTATATAGTAAAATACTCCAGGGGTGGTGGTGGTGGTGGTGGTGCAGGGTGAGGGTTAGACATGCTATATAGTAAAATACTCCAGGGGTGGTGGTGGTGGTGGTGGTGCAGGGTGAGGGTGAGACATGCTATATAGTAAAATACTCCAGGGGTGGTGGTGGTGGTGGTGGTGCAGGGTGAGGGTTAGACATGCTATATAGTAAAATACTCCAGGGGTGGTGGTGGTGGTGGTGGTGCAGGGTGAGGGTGAGGGTTAGACATGCTATATAGTAAAATACTCCAGGGGTGGTGGTGGTGGTGGTGGGGCAGAGTAAGGGTGAGGGTTAGACATGCTATATAGTAAAATACTCCAGGGGTGGTGGTGGTGGTGGTGCAGAGTAAGGGTGAGGGTTAGACATGCTATATAGTAAAATACTCCAGGGGTGGTGGTGGTGGTGGTGCAGGGTAAGGGTGAGGGTTAGACATGCTATATAGTAAAATACTCCAGGGGTGGTGGTGGTGGTGGTGGGGCAGAGTAAGGGTGAGGGTTAGACATGCTATATAGTAAAATACTCCAGGGGTGGTGGTGGTGGTGGTGCAGAGTAAGGGTGAGGGTTAGACATGCTATATAGTAAAATACTCCAGGGGTGGTGGTGGTGGTGGTGCAGGGTAAGGGTGAGGGTTAGACATGCTATATAGTAAAATACTCCAGGGGTGGTGGTGGTGGTGGTGGGGCAGAGTAAGGGTGAGGGTTAGACATGCTATATAGTAAAATACTCCAGGGGTGGTGGTGGTGGTGGTGGTGCAGAGTAAGGGTGAGGGTTAGACATGCTATATAGTAAAATACTCCAGGGGTGGTGGTGGTGGTGGTGGTGGTGGTGCAGGGTAAGGGTGATGGTTAGACATGCTATATAGTAAAATACTCCAGGGGTGGTGGTGGTGGTGGTGCAGGGTAAGGGTGAGGGTTAGACATGCTATATAGTAAAATACTCCAGGGGTGGTGGTGGTGGTGGTGCAGGGTGAGGGTTAGACATGCTATATAGTAAAATACTCCAGGGGTGGTGGTGGTGGTGGTGCCGGGTGAGGGTTAGACATGCTATATAGTAAAATACTCCAGGGGTGGTGGTGGTGGTGGTGCAGGGTGAGGGTTAGACATGCTATATAGTAAAATACTCCAGGGGTGGTGGTGGTGGTGGGGCAGAGTAAGGGTGAGGGTTAGACATGCTATATAGTAAAATACTCCAGGGGTGGTGGTGGTGGTGGTGGGGCAGAGTAAGGGTGAGGGTTAGACATGCTATATAGTAAAATACTCCAGGGGTGGTGGTGGTGGTGGTGCAGGGTGAGGGTTAGACATGCTATATAGTAAAATACTCCAGGGGTGGTGGTGGTGGTGGTGCAGGGTGAGGGTTAGACATGCTATATAGTAAAATACTCCAGGGGTGGTGGTGGTGGTGGTGCAGGGTGAGGGTTAGACATGCTATATAGTAAAATACTCCAGGGGTGGTGGTGGTGGTGGGGCAGAGTAAGGGTGAGGGTTAGACATGCTATATAGTAAAATACTCCAGGGGTGGTGGTGGTGGTGGGGCAGAGTAAGGGTGAGGGTTAGACATGCTATATAGTAAAATACTCCAGGGGTGGTAGTGGTGGTGGTGGTGCAGGGTAAGGGTGAGGGTTAGACATGCTATATAGTAAAATACTCCAGGGTACGTGAGCAACAGCTCAGGTATGCGGCGCTGACGTGTTTATAACCCACGCATCGTGCGGCGTCGTGTTTTTATGGGTCTGGAAAAGTCATTAAGTTTTTATGACCCAGTGGAATTTCTGCTTCGTGTTTTTATGGATCACAAAAAAAGCAATTACTTTTCCGAGAAGGTGAAGTGAAATCTCTTTGTCGGGTAAAACTTATGGCTTCTCCGCGAAGTTCAGACGAAGTATCTTCTTTGCTTTTATTCATGCTGCTGTAAAAGCAATTTAGCCTCCGCGAAGTTCAGACGCCTCACCACCACTACCCCCAGGCCACCACTACCCCCTCTCCTCCACCACCACCACCCCCTCTCCTCCACCACCACCACCCCCTCTCCTCCACCACCACCACCCCCTCTCCTCCACCCCCACCATTACTCCCCCTCTCCTCCACCACCACAAGGTGGTGGAGTATTTTACTATATCTCATTGTCCCTGCGGCTCCACCACCACCATAATACCCAAAATGGGCCTGATATACTACTTTTATTTTCTCATTTTTAGTGCATAATTATATAAATGCTTGTTATTAAAACGTTTTACAAGCTTTTATTGACTCGCTACCTCATAGTAATCATAGATCGAGCACTTCTAACTGACCAATTCGTTTTAAACTTGGCACGTTGGTCAAGACCTGATTACAATGCAATCTGACATAAATTTAAAAATTAATTCATTAATTAGATGCTTAATTTATCTTTTATGAATAAATTAAAATCTTCTATTGAAAGTACTATTTACCGTGCTATTATACGCGCATTTGTCGTGTTCATTTGCTGTTAGTTAAAAAAAGCTAGTAAAAAGTGTATGTTCTGCAGCACCCAGCCTTAAGGGAGATCACTCCCTCTTTAGTTTATGTCATCTATCTTCTATCTATATATATATAAATCAATGTATGTGTGTGTGTGTCTTTTATGCATTATCATATCTCTTATCACATCGCCGTCGAACTTTGGGAAGTTGTTCAGAATATTAATAGGGAGGTTTCTGCG